TTGGACTTCATCGTCGAAGCAATCGAATAAGATCAACAGTGGTCATACGCGCATCATGACTAGAACTTAGTCGACCTTGTAACTTCAGTGTATTAATTATAAAGAATATATTCATCTTACTTTACATCAATACTTTAACATCGACTCTCAATCATTCGAGTCTTACTTACAACGAGTCTTCCTGCTACAACGCCAGTGAAGAGATTCATCGTACTTACTTTCCTGCTGAAACGCTACGGAAGAGGATCATCGAGCTACATCGCTACGAAGGGAGAACAGCATACAGAGACGCTTGGAACACGTCTCTGTAAGGAACAACTCTCGAGACGATAGTAATAACTATCGTCTAGGTACATTTACACGTACTACGCTCCGAATCGAGCTGCCAAGGGCGAGACCTCCAGGACGTGACAATTGTACGTATCACACAGTCTTTAGACAGACGAGCGAAGAAGATTCAGCACGAAAAACCCATAGGAATCGGCGTAGAAGGAAGGAATTTTTCGACATTTAGCCGAAAATCGACCCGATTTCGGCTATTTCTCGCTTTAAAGTGAACTAATTCCCAAACTATCGCCTGGATCAAAATTGTATGTATCACACAGTCTTCAGACAAACGAGAGAAGAAGATTCATTGTCAGTGATACATCCTATGTATCATCGTATGTTACATTCTTACGTATTTTTATGTATAACCTATCATATATTACCTATAACATATTTATATGTAAGATCAGGAGAATCTCCAGTGCCAATGGAAAGATTGATAGAACACCGAGGGATTCATAAGCGTGTTAAAGATGCCGCTGACGGAATACCAACATTTGACGGAACAAGGCATATGGTTATACCGTTCTGTGAATCCTGCTATAGGGCACGAGACTATTTGCTACATGGAGATGAACCTCTGTTGGTAGGAACGATTTTGAATAAATTACGTGGTACCGCCTATAGAACAATTGGTCGCATGCAATTTGCCAACGTAGAAGAACTCTGCGATAAAATTCGGAAATTATACTCGCCATTTAAAAGTGTTAACTACTACACAGGAGAGCTTAGCCAATTATAGAAAATTGAATTAATAGCCAAAGAAATCGAAAATGGAACGTCGAATATCGGCGGCGACCCGGCCTGGTCCTCGATCACGTTCGTTCCTTTAATTTCTGTAAAACAGAAAAATTCCGAAGTTCTACTAATCACGTATACACGTGTCTATTTATTGCCTGCGAGGTGATACCGTTCGCAGGTGTTTATGAAGACTGTATTTGTTTAACAAGGAGCGAGATACCTCGTACCTGCTTGTCTTCGACAAGAGGATCGATCGCTCTAATCCTCTTATCTATTTTGAAAACGATCTTTAAATTTGTTTTGAAACGAGAAATCGCTGCGTTCAACACCAGCCCCTTTCTTTCAAAGAAATAACTGGCTGCAAGCTTAATGCTGCCCGAACGTTGCTTTCCAGACGGAAAATTATTGCAACGTTGGATTTCGATCCGCAAATCCTCGAAATCCTTTGAAGACCGCGAGCGAGTTTGTGACGAGCACGTCGTTCCAAACCGCTGTTTCGTTCCGGCTTTAACAGCTACTGCTTAAAAAAGCTGCAGGCTCACTGAACTCAGGTGAAACCACGGAGCGAGACGCGTGATGGAATTGTTTGTAGGACAACTCCGTTTAAGTTGGGAAGATGCGATCTCAAACAGTTTCGTCTACCACCGAAAGGCAAAGAGATTAGCCGCTCAGGGTCTTAATCTCGATAGAAGATCCCTAACTCGATTCTCCACGAACGAAAACCGTTCGTATACGAGAGGCGAATATGTCGTATTCGACTGCACTTCGACGCGGATTGCAAACCCTGCAATCGAAACGCACAGCGGACTGGTGAACGCCGAATCGCTGATCTCGACTTATAATTCAAGACGGAGAGTACCTCGGTCTTGAATTTCCTTACTAGCAAGAGGATCCGATAGCTTTTCAGAATTACTTCTGTGTCCAGCTAAACTCGGATTTGTCACGCGAGAAAATCAAAGAGGAGCTCTCTCTTCGAAGGTTGATATCGAAGTTATACCGTTCGCTCGTCCGTCGCGATCGTGTGGCTACGATTTTCCGCGACTGCGTATAGGCTCGAATCATTCTATCCTTTATTCTCCGACGCTCGCGATATTATTTAACGATGTTAACGGCAATATTGTATGTTCGAATTCCGAACATACGACACTGCTGGTCAATAGCTTGTTTCCTCAATTTTTGAATTTGTCCCGGTTATCGCGGCCGTTGTGCTGTGTCTCCGCTCGGGCGGCTTGCGTCATAATCGGATTAAGAGCTTAGTGAACCGTTTCTTCTATTTCTCTACGTGACGAATTCCCGTCTACCGACGATACCGTCGATTTTCGGGGAAGGAATATCCCGATTCTAGGAAACGCATGATGACTCATACGTCTCAGAAATTTAATTCCCGAATAAATGCGAATTTCTAACATAAGGTCTTGTCAATTCGCGTTGGGATCGTGGATTTTAATTGACCGAAATATAGTGTCCGTTCAGCTCTTTTATTATTATTATTTTAATTAATAATTTTAATTTTAATATGATCAGTGGTTAATTTCGTTGTTCTTTTCTGTATTACTATACATTTGAGCGATCTGCAGCAGATGTTATTTTTCACTCAGTTTGAATGGTTAATCAGTAAGGTAAAGGAGGTAGTACCGGGACACTTTTGAACATAAATTTTTTATAATGTTTTTTACTACGAAATTTAAGCATAGTACATGAAAACTTATCATCTTAGCAGATAGCTGGGATCCATATCAGATCAGTTTGCAACAAGAACATTCGCAGAAACGCAGGCTAAACAGAAAGACTCTGCGTTCCGGAGCTAAGCATCGGGCGAAGAAACTCCACCGACAGATATTGAAACAATTAAAGTATCAACTAATTTATTCGGAACAACCGAAAACATCGAGTCACCCGGAAAGGCCGTGTTATGCCCAATCCCCACAGACCTTGCGGTGCGGTGCGGTGCGGCATTTTTCGAGCCGACCGTGAGCTCGATCAGGGCCGAAAACCAAGTTTACAGCATATACTGAAAGCGTGTAAAAGCCGGAGGCTTCGAGGGGCCCTAGAGAAGTTGCGTCGAAACTTAGGAGATCGAGGACTAAGAGTACGGTCAAACCACCCGCTGTTCACTTTCAAATAGGTTTTTAAGTCCCAAAAAGGTCGATTTTTATGGCCTGTGCGGCGTTCAGGAAAAAATCGCAGCCTGCGATTTTTTCCCGAACGCCGCATGCGAACTTTCTGTAGGAGATTCTTCCAGCTTGCAAAAAACAAGTATAATAATATACTATAATAATGATAACTATTTTTTTAAATCATATTCACTT